ATAGTGTCAGAGACTGGACATTACTTTCAAAGAAAATCTGTCTTATCGTTAGAATTTTCCTATCATCTGCCTCATAAATGTAATGAATCTGGGAAAAAATTTATATCTGTGATGTTTCATCCATAATCTGCAAAAGAATTTGACTGCTAAGTCTCCAAACAGGAAGTGAAGTTATATCTCAGCAACACTTTTATATATTGACATTAAACTTGTTACATATATTTCACAACATGAGCTGAAGTTAAGAAACCAGATTTGATATAATTTGCAATTTGGCCGGGCTACAGGAAAAACAGGAATTGGGGTGATATGTCAGCAACAGCTTGACCTTCTGCCATCAAAGTTATTATATGTCCCTCGGAGCAAGCACTGAAGTTCCAGTGGCTTCTGGTCTTCCTCTATTTCTAAGGAGTGAGGACAGAAAGTGCTACTACACTGCCTCACTGTCTCGTGTAGTAATACAGTTATTGCCATTATAGGATATGCCACATACTAGAAAAACATTTCTTAAACCATTAACATTAAACTTTCTTTTAAAATGTTTTATAAAAAAGTGCAATCCATTTTAAATACATTTTGTATTGTATGTAAGGTGCATCCCTCCATTTCTCTCTCTTTTACTTCCTGCCCTGTCTTTGGTAAGTCAATTTACGATTACGATTATGTATAATTTTTCCCAGCTCATTTCTTCGTTAATAGCCAAACAATAGTGTACAATATCATGAAATGAATGAGATTTTAAATAGCCAATTTTAAATGCATGATATACACTATATGTTATATAGGTTTGTGGACACCTGATGAATACACCCCTATGTGGGCCTTCCCCAAACTGTTACCACAAAGTTGGAAGCACATAATTGTATAGGATGTCTTTGTATGCTGTAGCATTACAGTTTATTTTCACTGGAATTAAGGGGCCTGGCCCAAACATAGTTAAGGTAAGGTCACAAAGTAAGGTCTATAAAGACATGGTTTGCTAAGGTTGGAGTTGAAGAAAGCAACTTTGGCGTGCACAAAGTCCTGACCTTAACCCCATTGAACAACATTTGGATGAGCGGTGACTGTGTCCCAGGCCTCCTCGCCCGACATCAATTAGATGTCACTGATGGACAGACAGACAACCCAAGACAGACAACCCAAAAACATAAACCATAAAAATCTTTTTCAAATTAATCTGTATTAAAGAACTATATGTATTTAAATTCAAAATGAGCCAAAGGTGAGAAGTGGTTGCACCAAATTATTTTTGGTTGGACCAGATGATATTTTCAAGTTCACTCAAATTTAGCAGGCTTTAATCTCATCAAAGTCCATTATAAATTTTAGATTTACACATATGATTTAATTTTCACTGTTTTCTTGAGGTCATACCACAGGACAGCCATATATGGCACTTACAGTATAGAACAGTACTTAACAAGTAGAACTGAAAACTGACGGCCTCAACAGGAATGACAATTCTAGTCCTTCTTACTAATTTTTATGCCAGTTACTAATTTGCATGCCAGAAATACCCTAAAAATATATTTCAAACAGGAAGGAGGCTATAGAAGAAAAACTATTTCAGACATTTTAGCCTTAAGTTCCTGAACATGAATGTGTAAGACAAACAGATATTGAAGAAAAACTTACTGGAGAAGGCATAAAAAGGTGAGAAATTTCCTTTTAGTAAATGAGTAATAGATTTTATGTGATACATTCGATAAATCTATATCATTCATGCATGAAAAGTGTTAGGAGAGTAATATTTAGACCAATCCAATTAAGGTTGGATTTAAGAGCACAGACTACATACTGGTGTATGGTGCCACCTAATGGGCTACAGGAAAGGATGTTTTAGAGAAATTCTGTATGTGTTTTAGAATCAAAGAGGCAGAAAAAGACTTTATCATAATCCAAACATTTGGACCTGCATATCTATTCACTTGCTTATCTACACACCTCCCCATGCATACATTTGTTCATCTCTCTATTGAGCCATCTATTCTTCCAACTGTCTTCCATATGGTATTTGCTGTATTTGTTTTTCCTTTTTATGTTATTTGTGTAGCATACACAGATTGTTAGATTTTATTATTACTCTGTATTTATTGAATGAATGTTAGTGTACTAAACCCTAAATTACTGTATTTCACATGTAAAATTAATGAGTATGTTACAGTCGAGGTCAAAAGTTTACATCTCCCTTTCAGAATCTGCAAAATGTTAATTATTTTACCAAAATAAGAGGGATCATACAAAATGCATGTTATTTATTTAGTGCTGACCTGAATAAGATATTTCACATAAAAGATGTTTACATATAGTCCACAAGAGAAAATAATAGTTGAATTTATGAAAATGACCCCGTTCAAAAGTTTTCATTCACTTGATTCTTAATACTGTGTTGTTACCTGAATGATCCACAGCTGTGTTTTTTGTTTAGTGATAGTTGTTTAATTAAATAATAATAATAATAATAATTTTAAAAATCTAAAATTTTAAATGTGAAATATACATAATATTTTCTCTTGCATCTGACGGACAACATATTATCTTTTTTCAGAGTAGAGACGTACAGAAATACAGAAGTAGGTAAATGTAAAAGTTGGTAGCACCCATAGTACTAGCTAGTCAGGTAGCCATCTTAGCTACCACTAGTGCACTTTGTACCTACGGATTATTTTTAAATCAGCCCAAAAATACCATCAGCGGGCATGCTTTTCACTTAGTCAACTTTGTTCCTAAACTAACACGCTATAGTGCAACCCTGGTAACCCTACCACGGCAGTGTTTTCCCATGACACACACTCCGATGGGGCAGGGGAAATTAGCATATGAACGGAACTTTTAAGATCTACATATTATATTTGTTTTCATCTTTACATTTATATATATATATATATATATATATATATATATATATATATATATATATATATAACATTTATATTTAAAATTTAGATTTACTTTGACTATTTATAGTTAATATTTACACTGAAACTTTTATTTGACATAAATCGCTATCTAAATGTATCAGAATGGCCTCAAATGTTCAATATGTGTTCGGTCAGAATGGCTTCAGTCACTCACTGTTCTAAAAAAAAAATAGAATATTAATACTCATAAATATTACTTTCTGTCTAAATCAATTAATTTTAATACAGTAAGTTATATGATATGAAAGATCAGATCTAAACTCTTTGCTCTGAGATCCAACTTTCTCAGCTCTTATAAATGCCAAGATGTTTCTGTACCTTACCAGTAGATGGTGCCAAGAGTAAACACATATGAATATCAGTTTAAAAAAAAACAACATTGCGTTCTCCTAGAAACTATATATTAAGGTCTTCCCAACTGCGACAAAAAGAGGTGACAAAAAGCGACTCATTGTGTACACAGCACGTGGCCAACACTAAATATGTTTCATTTAAACAACAAAGCTCATTTCAGTGAGAAGTGGTGGAGCTGATTTAAGAATGACCAGAGAAAAGAGAGAAAAAAGATAGTGGGTGGGGAAAAGATGAGTGTTTGTGTGCGCAACAGAGAAGAGACAGTCAGTGGGAAAGAGAAGGAGTAAAAGAGGGAAGTGCATGTGAGAGGGAGGGAGTGTCTTAAACTAAAGATAGGGTCAGTGAGTTCGTCAATTCCAGTAGTGCTTGTTAAATGACAAGTAATCCCAAACACTGTGTGCAATAACCAACCACACACACACACACAGAGAGAGAGAGAGACAGAGAGAGAGGGATGGATATATATATATATATATATATATATATATATATATATATATATATATATATATATATATATATATATATATATTAGTATATTGTATATGTCAAATATCCAATTTATACTTTATTTTAAATGTTCTGTTTATGCACCATAATCACTGTGTAAACAACAGGTACACCATGCAAGTATTTGCAGACTGTTATACACTTCCATCATCAGGAGCATAAACACATAAGCAACACTGTTCCATTTTAATATACCTGGTGAAATATCAACTCAAATAAACTGTTTAAAACAATAAAGTGGTGTGAACACATACCAGATAAGGGAGGGAGGCATGCAAACAGCTTAGTTGAACTGAAGCGAGAACACCCAGGAGGACCCAGGACACACAGAAGAGAAACAGCTCCAGAAGCAGCACTTACTGCGAAGAAAGGGCAGCACCTCAGAGACATATGCAGGCACACATGGTGAGAACAAGAGATCAGCAATGAAGATCAACAGAGGAGACGGCGCAAATAAGAGGAAAGCACAGAGGGAAAGGGGTGAAAGAGAAAGTGCGACATAAGTGAGGGAGGGAGGGATTGAGGAAGGGAGGGAGGGAGGCAGAGAGGAAGAGATCTGTGAGTTGCCTGAGTTGCGTGTAGGGAGGACAGATCTGGAAGGTTACAGAGTTCAAAACACTGGGAGAGAATAAGATGTTATTGTAGTCCAATTAGCCAAGGATTACACAACACAGCCAAGCCGAGCACCCACTGCTGCTCCATTTCTCTCTCTTTCTCTCCCACCTAAAGTCACACATACACACTCTTACACACTCATTTCCCTTTCCATTTTTGTAATATTGGTCTCCCATATTTAATCACCCAATCAATTTCTCTGTGTGGTGTTTCACAATGAATGTGATGATGTCTCTTAGAAAAACTGCAAGTTGTTTTTTGCAGCCATGGTGAAATTTATGGGTTTGGGTTATTGTGGGAAGATTAGGGGTTTCTGTCAGAGTTCTGCCTCTGGAAATTAAGCAAAAGAGAAAACAAAACCAGCACCATGTAAGCAATGCTCTATGTAGTCAAAAGTATCACGAATGTAAGTTAAATCTGTCTGGCAAATGTTTTGGCATAAGTGTCTTTGATAACAGGCATCGTTATTGGTTTAACCCTTTCATGGATGAATCATGAGAACTTGAATCAGAATTTATTTGTAATTATTTTTATTCTTCTTGGAGAGTGTTAAAAAACTATTTTATAGTTATCTGTATTTTACATGATTATATTTAAAAGTTATTGGAGGATTAGTGGTTAGGCCACAGCGTTCTCACTGCTGCGGCCTGGGTTTGATTCCCGGCCAGGGAACCAACCCCAGCCACTGGGGTTGTGTGCAACAGTGCACTCTCAGTGCCAGTCCCAAGCCCGGATAAAATTGGGGAGGGTTGCGTCAGGAAGGGCATCCGGTGTAAAAACTGTGACAAATCAAATACGAGGACCAGTGGTCCCCTGTGGTGACCCCTAACAGGAGCAGCCAAAAGAGGAACAACAACAATTTTTAAAAGTTATTCATGTGTCCACTCGGTGACATATTGCATTTGAGTGTTCAACATCAAGTAACATTTATTAATATCCTAATGAAGAGAAGAGTCTATTATTTGAAAGTTAAGAATATAAAATGCAAGAATATAAAATGCAATTTTAATTTGCAATTTCGCAAAAACGCACACTGAGCATAGCGAGGAACTGTCACTAGGTTCCCCTTCATGGAATGCTGCAAGGTCAATAGACAGGTTCACAAAAGTGGGTGATATAACCTTAAGCCACTGGTCCTCAGATGGCAATAAACCAAGAGACACACCACAAGAGACACAAATCTTACTGCTGAAAAGCCACAAAATTGCCTTGTCATCCCATTAATAAAAACAAGGGACAGTATAATGTTGTATTATTTACATGAAAAAAGCCCAATATGAACTAATATTTAATTGTAATTTAATTACAATTTCCGCATTGTTTCCTCACTGGTTAATCAACTCAGGTGCAGCCAGTAACTTCCTGGATTTCAGAAATTGGAAGTAATTGTAAATGAGGTACTTTGGGAAATGTTATTCTTGTTTGTAATTGCTTATTTAGATTATTTATTCATCCTCAGAACAAGAACATGTGAACCATGTACAATTGGTTCTAAACAAGCTCTTGGAGAACAAACTATATGTGAAGTTTAGAATTACGAGTTCCATAAAATTAAAATGGCCTTTCTTGGTTATATAATTGATGCACGAGATGTAAAGATGGACAAGACAAAGGTAGAGACAGCTTCTTTTGAAGGAGGTACAGAGATTCCTGTGGTTTGCAAACTTTTTCTCCCAAAGAAAATGGCTCCATCATCCCTAAATGACTACAGACCTGTTGCCTTCACATCGCATGTGATGAAGATCCTGGAAAGAATGGTCTTTTTAGATGACTCTGTGATGAATGGGTGCATCAGGGATGGGCAGGAAGTGGAGTATAGGGACCTGGTAGACAAATTTGTTGAGTAGTATGGAAAGAACCATTACTCCTCAATGTGGCCAAGACCAAGGAAATGGTGGTTGACTTCAAGAAGAAAAGGACCAGGCTTTGGTATTCTCACTTTGTTTACTGGCTTACTCTTTGGATTACCCCTTTGGACTGTTGACTAATATTACCCTTGCCTGTCTCCTAATCCTTAATTTTTTATTGTGATTTCTAGGGATGCAACAATACCATTTTTTTCAGAAGAGGGCACTATCACAACAGACTGGATGTAAAGTGGTCAGCAACCTAAAGAAGCGGAAGGAGATCACTTTGCTCTTGAACTGTCTTCATTACTAAGCCTGTTTTGTCTGTAGTAAACTGCCAGCTCTAATTGCAAAACCAGTCACCTCTAAAGGTGACATGACACAGTGGGACAGTAAAAAACCATTATATTTGTGTTTATTTGGGTTTGTTATCATGTTGGTTAAAAATGAGTATAATATCATTCAAACACTTTGCTATGGCACTACAGGTTGCACAATCATGACATCTTTGTAGATTATGGTTTAAAATAAAGTGCCAGCTATATTAATTATCATGGATGGTGTAGGTTTGCAGTGGAGAAGAGCAGGTTTTGTTTCACTTTTGGAAAGTGCTTTTGTATAGCTGTAAGTAAATAAGTCTTAGCTTTCACTACATTGGAATCCCCTTTTGTCAATGAGCTATGGTGGCCAGATCATCAGAAACAACATACTCGGTAAGAGTTGTTATTTTCCCTAGCATTGTCTGTAGAAACGTTTTCTCACCTAGCCTGGATTGTTGCTGCTGTGTGCTGCTAACAATGAATTCCTTGTGCTGAGTTTAATTTAATGCAATGTTTTGTCAAGTTACTTGTATAGTAGGAGGATGGTGCAGTTCTTACTCTTGATATTTTCACAGAGCACAGGTTGCATTCTGGTTTGATTTGATCATTAATCATTAAATACCTCCAGATCCCTGTCAATTGATTTAGTCTCTTCATTAACAGGGTAATATACATATTTTAGTAGGAAAAAGCTTTAGCTCTGTAATTTCAGCTGCTGTGTCAGCTTTCAAAGTTTCTCTGACCTGACTACCCAGGGGAAAATTGTAAGCATGGTGAGTTTTATGATGCCTCTGTAAGTTTGGCCTCTTGAACTGAGCAACTGCACTGTCACACAGGAGACTGTATGGTCACACAGAAGAGTGATTTACCTCCACTCTCGATAGGTATAAAGAAAAACTCCTCTTCCTACCTTTTGTGAACTTTTAAAGAGTGATAATTTCGAGTCATATAGCCACATGCAGCACATAAGCCACGGTCTGAGCATTACTGCCTTAGGGAGACACCATGGGCTTGTTCACAAGGTTACTCCAGAGCCATCAACACCAATGTATACAGGGCAGATTAATCACTAAGTCATGCAGCTTCCCTACTCTTTTTACTGATGTGATCATTACCAAAAATGCAGCATTTAGAGAGACCCATTTCTGTTCAACATCTTGTATGGGCTTTGTTCCAACCCATCTATGTTTACATGCATGGTGTAAATGCTCATGAAAAGAACTCACACAATCTAACACATTAGATTTTAGTGGAGGTTTCCAGTACAACTTGAGTGGTCTATGAACGGTGTGCCCACAGACCAATTCAGCAAGACTGATTCCTGTTCCACAGATAGCAAACAAAAGGCAAGGAATACCTTCACGACCAGTATCAAGACAGTATGCGCACATCATTGATTTTAATGTCTGGTGAAACTATTCCAGTGCACCTTGAATCTCTGGATAATAGGCACTAGATACTTTTGCTTTACTGCCAACTCATGCAACACCTGGGAACAGACCTTAGAAGTAAAATTACTGTCTTGTCCCGTTTGAATAACTTTTGATAAACCAAAAAATTAAGCAAAATTTTACCAATGTTTTTACTATGGCTTTTGGATTAATGGTGTGCAAGGGCATCACTTCAGGATAATGAATAGCAGCAAACATCAAGGTCAACAAATACTCATGTATTTAGTAGTCAGAATAATTCTTTAAAAACAGCCTCTCCTAAAATGGGAATAAGATAGAGAGGAGGTTTTGGAATTGCTTGCTTTGGCTTGACATCCAGTTGACAAGCATGGCGGGAGTACCTTGAAACATCAGATTTTAGGCCTGACCAAAAATAATAGCACAATATAATAGGTCTTGTTTACCCCTAAATGACCAGACAACACATGATCATGTGCTAAATGTAAGATCTGACATCTATACCCAATAGAAACTACAAGCTGATACACTGAATTCCACCCACTGGCAATGGCTTGAGAAGGTGTCCATTTCCACATGATCATTTCACTAGCACAAAATAAGCTACTCCTACTTGAAATCTCAATTACAGGACAACGACATAGGAGACTAAAGAAGAATCTTTAAATTTTTAAAGGGATTTCTTGCCCATGATTCAATGTTTTCACGGTCTCAGATGGAAGAGTTAACTCAGTCAAATGAAAACAATTTTGTACATTCAGAGACACAACCATAAAAGTATCATAGAGACCCACCTTATTGTCCACTTTAAGAGTCCACACACACAGGAAACACAGAAGAATTGTCCCCACTACCACCTCTAATACCACCTCCACCAAATCATATTTAAAATGCACAGTATGTAAAAGAAATTGCACACAACTGGAATCAATTCAATTCCATTACCAATAGAAGAACCACAGTTTTCATATGGGACCTAAACTTTTTCCAGCTCTGGAACACCACTTCTCGCAAGGTACTTTCCACTCTCCTCCATATGTGCTTATGCCTCCAGTGAGCTAAGGGTTTAGCCACAACTGAATCAAAAAAAGTTAACATCCAGGCTGGTCCCAGACCTGTGTGCAAAGTCTAAAAAAGGGAGAAAAAAAAGTCCTTCCTGCCTGGTCTAAACTCAAGGGTTTTTGCAGTGATGGCATGAGATTACAAGTTTTTGTATAGAGATTAGATACTATGGAAAACCTAGATCACAAGTATGGGAGCATTTCCACGTTGATAGTCCAAATAAGGTGCAATGTATGATATGTAACCAATATCTGTCATATTCTAACAATACATTTTCAATGCTTCGACACTTATGTTCCAATCATTCCCTACAGAGACTAGGACACCACAAGAAGGCAACACATTATTAAAACGCAATAAAATATAATAAACGTACAAACATATTGTAATTCATATTTTAAAAATGCATGTTACATTCACTTGATTGTGTTTTTAAATAGGCATATAAATAGATCTAGCCACCACTATTGTGGCATATAAATAGATCTAGTCACCACTCACCACTATTGTGAGCATGACTTTTCAAAACTGGGGATGTCATAAGTAAATAATGAAATAGAATATAGCCCAGTACTGCAGAGCAAATCATTTTCTTACATAAAAACCTTTAACTAAGTAATAATTTGTTTCTGTATTTTATAGCTATGCATGCATGCATGTTTTGGCAGGCATGCCTAGGTATGCAAAACTTGTCTTCTTAATTTTTGGTTTAGAAGTACAAACCCATTGTACATTGCAGAATGATAACTGCATAAGCTAATATGCAATCAAAACTTTTAAAAACTATATAGTGTCATTTAAGCCAATACCAGTGTCTTACATGAAATACAAATACCAGTGTAAAACATGAATACAGTGCATAATTGGATAATTCTCATGGAAATGACTCAGATGAAAAAAAAAACGCATTTAATAAAAAAAAATGTGCTTTGGTTTTTGTGACTTCAAAGGGTCCAACTAGCACATTCAATTGACACACAAGTGCTGTAAGAATTTTTATTGTCCAGCGGGTGTCAGTGTAGGGCTGGGTTTCA